GCTGCTGCCTGCGCTGCAGCAGCAGCTCCCCCGCTGCTGCTGCTCTGCGGCCGCAGCCGCACGAGGCCTCTCGCCCTCCGTGCAGCACCGGGGGCCCCCGGGACCCCCTCAGTACCCTTTCCCAGTTTCTTTAAATGGAGGGGCCCCTTCCAGGTATACCCTTCCCGGAGGCCCCTCAAGTACCCACTTTGGGGGCCCCCCGCTGCTGCGGGGGGCCCCTGCAGCAGCGCCCGCAGCTGCTGCTCATCTTCGGCTATTGCCACGCGTTCAATCGATGCCACATCTACCAAGAAGTGAACCCCAGCCTAGCAGCAGCAGCAGCAGCAGCAGCAGCGGCAAATGCAGCAGCAGCAACAACGAGGGTCGCTGCAGGCCAAGCAGCAGCCATGCTCCAGAGCAGCAGCAACAGCAGCAGCAACGTGGTTCCCTCCGCAGCAGCAACGCGGTTCTCCAAAAGAGCAGCAGCGGAGCAGCGAGCCGAGCAGCAGCAGCTGCAGCTGCTGTAGCTGCTGCAGCTGGGGCTTACCAGTGGCATGGCTGCAGCGGGAGTGGTCGCTGGGTCATCCGCTGCGCCTGCTGCTGCTGCTGCTGCTGCTGCTACTGCTGGGGCTTGCTGCTGCGGGCTTTGCTTCCGAAGGGCCTTGTAGAGAGTAAAGGCCCCCGCGGGGAGGCCCAGGGCCTCGTCTGTGAGTCTGGGGAAATAAGGGCAGCAGCAAAAGTTGACAACAGCAACACGGGGGGGCCAGCGGTGGCGCTGCAGCAGCTGCAGCAGCAGCCGCTGCTCGCGGATGCTGCTGACGAGGAAGGTGAAGGTGTGGGGCCTCAGGTGCTCCTCCAGCACTGCCTGTGCTGCTGCAGCAGGAACTTTTGCTGCAGCACAAGCTTCCAAGTCCACAAACAGCAGCTCCCCCAGGGGCCCCAGGGGGGCCCTCGACAGCAGCCCCTGCTGCAGCAGGGCCCCCAGGGCCTCCAGCAGCCCCGGGAGGTCTGGGGGGCCCCCCTGCCACCTGGGGTTAGTGTACAGTGCTGCGCGCTGCGGGGCCTCC